AAAAAAAAAACAAAAAATTTATGTTCGGACTAATGACAGAGTGTGATGGTACACAATAAGGAAACTTAAGAACAAGGGAAATACGTTACGACTAATAAATGAATGAATGAGATAAAAGACGAATACGAACCGATAATGAAAAGATGGTGATGACAGTGATCAAATCATACAACCAAACACACACAAACACGCAATAAATACCCAGTTATCGCAATACTATTCACTTCATCAATACCCATCAGGTCGTTTAACCCCGTATTTCTTCGTGTAATCTTCTGCATTTTTATTAAACTTTTTCCTGTCCTTCGTGAACTCCTCAGCCAAATCGGCTCGTAATGGATGATCCGGCTCCGGTTCCACTATCAATCCCAATAGAGCGTTCATCACTGCAAAAAACTTATTCATCAAACCACGAGCATTCTCAATCAGTTTAAACATCGCAAAATCAAGAGTACTTTCACGAATAAATGAATATTCACTGAACATTTTAACCAGAACACATCATCCGACCACACTGATCAAGAGTGTTCGGTATGACACGATGAAAAACAATGAATTTCAAACGCATTGTGATACCTTGCTCAGTTTTTGTTGCCGGTTTCCAGTTGTCAGGTGCGATGATAGGCAAACAAACTTGNAGGAATGTTATTTTTGGAGGTTTGAAGGGATATTCGACCGGGAAATCAACCGACACTTTAAATGCGCCTTTATTATATGGTTCCTTATCCTGAAACATAAAATCACTCAAAAGACGAATCAAAAAACACTTATGATAGTTGACTAGGGGACATCTCAGCACTGTCGAATTTTTGCAGCTATCATAGAAAAGCCGACTAAAAGGGAGAATATTTATGTGATCGTTTAAAGCAGGACCAACATTATTTTTCAAAAATATCATTTAGCTGTAGAACGAAAATGACATAAAGTGAAAGATTTAATCCTGTAATGCGCTTGCATATCAATAGGTATGTGTTAAAGAATTTATAAGGTGTGAACAATAACAAAATTAGAAAACTAACAGGAACTAAAACGATCGTCCAGTGTAAAAGATTGTTTTCATCGAATTCAATGTTACAAAATGCTTTTGAATCTGACGACTGAATATCAGCAAGCTCCTATAAGCAAGACTGTTTCAGTCTGAATGCATCACATCACACAAGTAACAAATTATGATGCTAATAACTGTACCACTGATAAAGATAACATTATTTCATAAGAAGCTTAAAACTGTATACGAGTCGA